TACCATTAAGGTTTACTCATTGAGTATGGTTATTGTGACATACATATGTTGATCAGAAAGGTCGGCAGTTCGGCAATTTGAATCCCGAGCGCTGCGTAACGGGTTGAGCTCCCGTTACTTGTCCCAGCTTCTGCCAACCTAGCAGTTCGAAAGCATGTAAAAAATGCAAGTAGGAAAATAGGAACCACCTTTGGTGGGAAGGTAACAGCGTTCCATATGCCTTCGGCATTTAGTCATGCCAGCCACATGACCCAGAGAATGTCTTCAGACAGCACTGGCTCTTCGGCTAAGAAACGGAGGAACGACTAGCACATTTGTGTAAGGGGAACCTTTACCTTTTACCTTTTATCTACTTGGAACTAAGTCTTATAAAAAGTAGTAAAATTTTGCTAGGCAACTTCCTTGAACGCAGCCCTGTAATAAGGAAGAGCTCAACACATGGGAAGATAGAAATCTGTGGTGTTCCCTTTTATTGGATTTCATGTTGATTTTATTAATTTTTGTGCAGTTTCATTGTATTATTATTATCAGAAGCAGTATTATGAATTTGGTTTATATGCACAGACTCCAATCAGTTCCGTGTTCTGTATGCTTCAGAAATGTCAGAATATCTGGGCCAAGGAAGTTCTCTGCTGGTATGTCTTTCTAATATGGCGATTTCTCATCCTGCTGGTTACAGAATGAAAGCTTTCATGACCTGCTAGGTGCTTAACCAAAGACATTCTGCCTTCTCTTCTTCACTAGGATGGCCAAGGATAGCCCCAAATCAATATTCACCAAGAGGGAGGGCAGGAGAAGGAAAGTGCTGAAAGCAAACTGGGGGAGAAGAGATTCCAACATTTTAATTTTGTTCTCCTTTTTGCTAAAGAGCTATGATTTAATTAGAGCAGAAATAATCTTAGCATTGCAAACTTGGAGGGTTGTTTTAATTGCATTGCCGTTATATTAATACTGTCAACTTCTTAGTAGATATTAACTATCCACAAATAATGCAGTCACTCACTATATAATTTTGGACCGTAGAATTAGAAGTTCGCCTCGTTCTGTTTTCTACCCTGGTCTTAATTGCTAATAAATTTAACTTTAATCAGAAGGAAGAATTGTATTATTTGATTTCCACACACACTGCATCCATCACACTGGGTCATGATTAACAAAGACAGGAATATTTTAGCTTTGTGAATTCTGAGATGTCCGTAACTATAAGCTAGAGATGGTAACAAGGCAGCCATAAAGATATGTTGCAGTGATCTTGGGAGATAGGATGTAGAGAAGCAACCAAAATACTAGTCGGATAAAGGTTAACTTAGCCAGCAGGAATGTGGACAGGGAAAGTAGCTCAGAAGGGACCCTCCCTAGTTTCTTGGCTATAAAGGAGACAGAGAGAGAAATGTACTTTTAGATTTGCCAGACTTGGCTAATGTAACCTTACAACAGAGGTGGTATTCAGTAGGCTCTGACCAGTTCTGGAGAACCGGTAGCAAAAATTTTGAGTAGTTCAGAGAACCGATAAATACTACCTCTGGCTGGCCCCGCCCCCATCTATTCTCTGCCTCCCAAGTCCCAGCTGATCAGGAGGAAATGGAGATTTTGCACAGTATCCTTCGCCTGCCACGCCCACCAAGCCACACCCACTGAACCGGTAGTAAAAAAAATTGAATCCCACCACTGCCTTAGAATAAAGCGGAATTAGCTTATCTGGCCATGTTTCTTATCTGGTCTACTTCGCAAGACTCATATCAATCTTGCAAGTCTGAAAGTGCATTTCTTCCTCCTCCCCCCCCCTCCCCACATCATCACGACCACCCCTCCCATTTACAGCCCCAGAAACTACAAAGAGTCTTTTCTGAGCCATTTACACTGCCCACATTCCAAAATTGGGCTAAGTTGCTTTTATCTGGCTATTCCCATGGCTGAGTCTCTTTGCACTGCCTGCCATAGTCATCCCCACATGACCATTACAGGAGCTCAGCTCAAAACATGTTAGGCTGGTTAAACTACCTGTCATTACCTAGCAGTGATTAAATACCTTAAAATGCAAAATGTATTCAGTTTAGGTGATGAGTGGAGAGAGCAGTTGTAACAGAATCCATTTTGTTCTATATGCTATCTTGGAGGTTCCATAATCTGTCCATCCTGCCTGTCAATGTAGCTTATGAAGATTGGACTTTTTTGTGACCCCGTTTTATTATCTCTTGCCAACATTCACCTACTCTATTAAGGAAGGATGCTGACATAAGTAAGACCCATATGGTGTGAGCTAGCCAAGTACGATATTTTCATACACTACAAAAGTAACATGGAGGTACATAATTGTTTTGGTGATGACAAATCCAGTGCTCAAGTAGTGTACCAAGTAGCTGAAAGGCAAGCCCACATGATATCATCTGCCACGCTTGATTTATCGTAATAATACACAGCTCAGACTGTTGAAATATCAAGATTCAGCAATGTTTCTTCTTTTGAAACTGAGCCATTTTTGTCCCATGTGAACATCTGCTATTAGCACATATTTCCTACATATTATGATTGAACAGAAAAATGATATATAGAGCATAACCTGATCAACCATCAGAGTGAAGTTTGGAACACAGAACACATTCTTCTCACTTTGCCCCGCTGACAGATACTATAGGTGCTAATAGCAAAGTAGGTGTAACTCCTACTTTGACTTTCTGCCTTTTCCCCTTTTCTAGAGGGTGAGTCTGACCATATATAATAAATACGTTTTCCAAGGAGAGATTTCAGGATATTTCAGGCAATGGCCTCAGTAGATTCAGCATATTCCATGTTTTGAACTCCATTCCTAACTTCATTAACTCTTTTTATTATGTCAGACATTGCCTGGGCCCGGGCCCGTAAAAATTGTTGCTGGAAATAACACATATGTGTAGGTACTTAGTAGCTGGTCTTCTCTTGATTGAATCTTCTGGCACTTCATGGCAAGAGTGATCACTTTCCAAAAACTGTAGAATAGATTTACTTACAAGATTATAAAATTGATTTCCTTAAAGCATCTATATGAGTGAAATGTAATGTTATGGGGTTGAACTAGGATTGAGGAGCTCTAGGTTCAAATGTAACTTTGGCCATAGAAACTGGCTTTATGTTTTTGGATGGGTCATTTTCTCCCAGCCCAGCCTATTTCATTGTTTGGTTTTGCAGGGATAAATGAAGGGAGACCCCCATTTAAGCTGCCTTGAACATATAGAAAAATGGGATGATATGAGACTAAAATAAAACATTATTTGGCCGAAAAGATTCCCCAAGATTCCCCCCATAAAAGCAAGATAATGCATAGAATAAGGCAGCAGTCCCCAACATTTCCCGGTATAGCAATAGCAGTTAGACTTATATACCGCTTCATAGGGCTTTCAGCCCTCTCTAAGCGGTTTACAGAGTCAGCATATCGCCCCCAACAA